ACCGAATTTTATAAAAAAAATTAATAACTCAAAAACTATTAAGTTTAGGTATAGGACATGGTATAGCCATTTTATAAGGAATGATAGTAGGAATTTAAAAATGTAAAAAAAATTATGATGATCCATTTAAAATAACAAAGTTGATATCACTTCCGTTAAAACCGGAAGAGGAATTTTGTTCAAAATAATTTAGAAATATAGTTTAAATGATAATATAATTGCTATAAAAATTTCAATTCGAAATCTTTTGCCGTTCTCCATAAACGTCTAACCTACCATCGACCGTGATACACCCTGTATAAATCCAGACCTTTGCCCTCAATATCAAGAAATAAACAAGACCCTAAATAAATATAAAAAAGAAGCAACTTCTAAGGGGTTAAAAGCAGTTATTAAGGGAAATACAATAAAAATTGGAGAAGACATAATATATTATACACAATCGAGGACCTAAAAAACAAAATCTATAGAGGGTATACCCTCATCCCCCGATCAAGAGCCCCAACAAAATCAAACCAGTGCTTCTTCATCACCCAATCCTACATTGAGGCAAAAACGACGTTTAGAAGATCCTAATTTGTCCCCAAATTTAGAAAGCGAAATCGATACTGAATTTATAAAGGAGATTAAAGAATTAAAAAAAATTAAGCTAAACGAGCAAAAACAAGGAACAACACCAAATCTAAAGTCTGATTCCACATCCCGCATGTACACCAGATCCACCTTACAAACAGGAGCTCAATCTAAATCTAAATAATCTGTATACATACATGTTCTGTTTTTTAAATTTTTGCTATTGATTTTATTTGTTAATTTGTGTATTAAATCATTACTTGTTTAACGTTTGTATATAATATTTAATGTTTGGTATTTGTATTATATAATTTGTACTAATATATTTAGATATACATAGGTTATTGATTGGTTATCTGGGCAAAAGATATTTACATTTTCAATTTTTTTTCCCCTCAAAACTGAAAGAAATGGATCCTTATTTAAGAGAGTTCGATTCTAACACAAATATTATTAAAACGGACATTTTAAAAAATGCATTTGAATGTAATGAAGTATTTAAAATAAATTCTAAGAACACAAATTTTAAAATGTTAAATCTTAATATACGTAGTATAAATAAAAATTTACCAGAGCTCGAAATCTTTTTAGAACAATTTTCAACAAAATTTGATTGCATAGTTCTAACCGAAACTAGGCAAGTTGATATTGATTATGTAAAACTGGATAGGTACGCGGGGATATATAGTGAAGGCATATTTAACCAAAACGATGGTGTTATAGTTTTTTTGAATGATGAACTGGATTTTACATACAGAATTGATTATATTAATCAGTGTAAAGTAGTTAATGTTAAAATCAAATATTGTAAATCTAAAACCATAAATGTTATAGGTATCTATAGGCTACACGGTGTTAACTTAACTCAATTTTTAATTAATATTGATTTATACTTTAAATTATATACGGCAAACAATGAGTTATGTCTTTTTACGGGAGACTTAAATATAAACCTACTAAATGAAACTGGCGCTTCAAGTGAGTACCTAGATATAATGGCGGAATACGGTTTTAAATCACTTATTAACGGCATAACTCGCAAACAAGATAAGGAAGAATCATGCATTGATCATATATTTTTAAAAGCCAATAATAATTTATACAAAAATGTTCTTCCAGTCATAGTCACAACAAATATAACTGATCACTATCCAACTGCTACACAGATTATATTAAATGATGTAATTAAACCACAAATATCAACAAGAAACTTTATTAAACAAATAAATTACAAAAACTTAAAACATGATTTACACAATATAAATTGGAATGAAGTCCTTAATAGTGAAGTTGAATCTGCCACAGAAAAATTTATTAATATTATTAAAAATAAAATAAATAAACATACAATATTTAAAAAGATTAAAAAAGAAAATAAAAAGCGTAAACCATGGATTACAACAGGCCTAATAAACTCAATTAATCATAGGGAAACTATTTTGGAAACGTTTAAAAAAACACAGGATATAAATATAAAAATACAGTATAATACCTACAAAAACCAATTAAAAAAATTAATAAATAAAGCTAAAAATGAATATTATAAAAATAAAATTAATGATTGTATCAGTAACAAACAAATTTGGAATACAATGAATAACTTTAAAAATCCAAAATCCCAAGACAATGAAAGAATTACGTCACAATAATGAAATAGTATCAAACAAACAAAAAATTCCAAATATCTTCAACTATCACTACGCTACAATGGGAGATAAACTAGCAAATAAAATATATAAAATTAACAACTTTAAGGAAAATCGCTTGAGACTTAATAATTCACTGTTTTTATTATCCACATGTCCAAATGAAGTCAAACAAGAAATACAAAAACTAAAAAATAAAAGATCGGTAGGCATAGATAATATACAAAGTGAAACCATTAAACAAATTTCTGATATAATTGCATACCCTTTATCTAAGTTAATAAATAAAATCTTTGAGACTGGTACTTGTCCAAAATCATTTAAAACTTCTATTATTGTGCCTATATATAAAAAAGGTAATAAACAAGATCCCGTCAACTATAGACCAATATCCCTCATAACTAACTTTACTAAAATTTTTGAGTCCCTACTAAAATCAAGAATAGATAACTATATTAAAAAATATAAAGTTATATCGGAAAGTCAGTTCGGATTTCAGAAGGGCAAATCTACTCATCAAGCAATTGTGTCATTAACTCAAGATATCTACGAGGCTGTTGACAAAGGTACCCCAAACATATGTATTTTCCTTGATCTGGCTAAAGCCTTTGACACAGTCTGCCACGATAAACTGCTTCAAATTTTAGAAGACATTGAAGTGTTAGAGGTACCCTTTTGAAGCTCTTTGCTGACTATCTGAAAAACAAAGTCCAACTAGTGAAGGTAGAAACACAATTTAGCGAAGCGGTGACTCCCATATGTGGGGTTCCTTAAGGTACCATCCTGGGTCCTCTACTGTTTTTGCTGTACATAAATAACTTATTTAGGGTTAAAACGGAAGGAAAACTTTTAAGTTTTGCTGACGATACCACCGTCTTTTATAAGGGTACAACATGGGAGTCACTGAAAACTACTATTGATAAGGATTTTGTTTCCATTAAAGAGTGGTTTGATCATAATCTATTAACATTAAATGTTGAAAAAACCAACTTTATGGCATTTGGTTCGTACGTTAAAAGCCTACCACAATACGACACGTTAAATTTTAATCAATTTTCGATCAAGATTTGTAAGACAGCGAAATTTCTAGGTATAACGCTAGATCCACATTTGAGGTAGGACAAGTGAAAACTATTACAAAAAAATTGAGATGTCTCATTTCCTATTTTAAATTACTTAAACCAATTTTGTCAATTCCATAGCTACATACGGTTTATGATGCACTCGTGGAGTCGCACTTAAGGTACGGTATCTTAGGCTGGGGCGGTGTCTACAAATCAATACAAATACAAATCAATACAAGAGATTTGGAAGTGGCTCAAAAAAGAATACTAAAGATTATTCAAGGGGTAGAAATAACTTACCCTACGGATGACCTGTTTCAGGAATCAAGAAAAATGGATTGTAGTTATATTATTTGAACCTTTTGTTGCGTATGTTTCATGAAAAAAAAAGGTTTTAAATTAGTTAACACCAGAAGTTGCAACTACTTACCTATTCCAAAAATGAAAAGAAACTATAGGCCAACGTTGTCTAACCTACTTGGGCCCAAAAGTTTATAATAACCTACCTGATAGTATAAAAAATACCAAAGGTAACTCTTATAAAAAAATGTGCAAGAACTATATACTACAGCAACCCAGGCAGTTCACGGATAATCAAATTGATCTTAAAAACACATATTAAATTATTTCAATTTTGCATATTTTAAATTGTCCAAAACAAGTCAGTTGGCGTTATTCAATTATTTAATTAATTGTACAAGTTTCTATGCCAAATGCCTTTTATTTTATGTTTTAAATAAATACTAACCCTTATACATAACTTACTAACACTTATTATAATTGTTATTTACATATCGTGGGTTGAATATTATATTGTTCTATCAGCAATTTTGGCGGAAAATGAAATTTTTACATGAAAATGAAGGTTTAACGAATATCTATCTATCTAAATAAGTATCACTGTTAAATATAGCCCAGAAATACTATAAACGACATTATTATTTTGTTCTATATGCGAAATTCAAATATAGTTAACTATTATAATGTTCTAACAAACCAATCAATTAAATTGCAAGTTTTCGAGTTGTCACTGACAGCCTGTCAGAATAACATATCTGTCATCGGCAGTTTAAAGAATTACGTCGTAGGTTTTTGGTGGTTTACGTGATTATTTTATTTAAAAATGAATGACAGTGGGATTCCGTAAGTACAAAAATACAATATTAGTATAAAATAGTTATAAAATACCCAAATAAAACTTATAATTTATACATAAAGTGATTCGTGCCCCAAACTCAAACGTGGCTACTAATAGAACATTATTAGCTTATTTCTACGAATTTGTTTGCTTTAAAAACATGCTTTTAGAACTTTTTCTCAACTATATTTTTTAGTTGCTGTTCAACAAGTTCGGATGTATTTGAAAATAATCATTTTGTGCATCAAATTGAATACTTTGAAGATAGTGATAATTCCTGTGCAGATCCAGACTATGTGGCTTCAGATTCAGATGAAGCAGCTTTAAAATCACATGCAAAATGTGGTAACATAGGTAAATCCCAGTCTACTTTTTTATAATTTTGTATTGGTTTTTGTTTTGTTTTTAGACCTAAGTATGGCGATGTCAACCAATGTAGAAGAAGATGAAATAGACGAAATTGTTGACAACGAAAAAACACAGAAAAAACGAAAACGTCAGGGCTATATAAAAGTGGCAACTGGTAATGACGATCAAAAGCTAACTAGGAAACGGAAACGAAAACCCGAAACTTGGAAGATGAACGTTAATAAGGTTTTATGTCAATCAGGCAAAGAATATCGAGATGTCAAAGGCAATATTCGAAAACAAAGATCCCTAAAAACGCTTAAAAATTGTCATGTCAACTGTAAATTTTTTTGCTCCAAGAAAATCAGCCAACATGAAAGAGAAGAGATTTTTAAAGGATTTTGGGCATTGACGAATGACTCTAAATTTCACTTTTATGCAAAAAATACAGAGAGATTTGACAAAATTCGTAAACAGACTGACAAGGAGCACTCTCGTAGGACGTATTCCTTTAGATATTATTTTCATATCGCTGATAAGAAAATACAGGTTTGTAAAACCTTTTTTCTGTCTACATTGGATATCAGTCAACAAAGAATAAACTACTTTCATGAAAAAAAGAAAGAAAATTTAACAGGAATCCCATCGACTTCTCAACAAGGTTGTCACCCTAAGAAAACAATTAGTACCGTAAGTAAGGATTATGTTCACTTACACATTAGCCAAATCCCAAGAGTCGAATCGCACTACTGTAGAGTAGATACAAAAAAAGAGTATTTTGATGGAATGCTGAATATGAACAGATTATATTCTCTCTACTCTAAGTTTTGTGCAGATAAACAAATAGTACCAGTCAAAAAACATATTTATAGAAATATTTTTAACTATGAATATAACATTAGCTTTTTAAAGCCAAAAAAAGATCGCTGTGATTTGTGTGAAGAACATAGATTGAAAGAAAAAGCTGGTATGAGCACTGATGAACAATCTTGTTGGGAAAAGCATGAACGGGGAAAACAAGCAGCAAAACAGAATCGTGACTTAGATAGACGCAGTGAAGCTAAAGAAACTGCTATTATATGTTTTGACCTCGAAAATGTTTTTTCACTACCGAGATCAAATGTTTCGTGTTTTTACTATAGCAGAAAACTAAATACGTATAACCTAACAGCACACTGCAGTTTACAGAAACATGCTTACTGTTGCATTTGGAGTGAAGGGACACATGGCAGGCAAGGAAACGATATAGCATCAGGATTGATAAAAATATTAGATAGAGTACTTGTCGACTATCCTGAAGTTAAAAATATTATTCTCTGGTCTGATTCATGTGTTCCACAAAATAAAAATTCGATCATGAGTTTGGCATTGATGAAATTTTTGGAACAGCATCCCTCCATTGTAGAGATAATACAAAAATTTGGAGAACCAGGTCATAGCAGCATACAAGAGGTGGATAATTTGCATAGCCAAGTCGAAAAGAGACTCTCTGGATTAGATATATTCAGTCCATTAGGTCTTTTGCGCTTATTACAGACTGTTAATCAGAAAAAGCCATTCAAAGTATTTCACATGAAGTATACAGATTTCAAGTTGTTCAAAGAAGTATCTCAAACGTTTAACTTTAAAAAAGTGCCATATGCAAGTTTAAAGCAAATAAAATATTGCGGAAACAATCCAACAAAATTATTTTACAAACTTACTCATTACGATGAGTCGTATATTGAAGTGCCAACTTTTCCTACAAGTAAAACTAGAACAAGTTCTGTATTTTCGCCAATCTTGATACCAGATATTCGCAATGCACCTGAACCAAAAAAATGTCTCCTGCCTTTTGCTAAAGTTGCTGATCTAACCAAATTATTTAAGTTTTTGCCGCCTGTTGATGTAATTTTTATAAAAACTTTTTTTAAACAATTTAATAATGCTGCTGTATTTGCAAATGAGAAAAGAAATTTAAAAAAAAGACAATAATTAGTTGTTGAGTTGAGTTATCATTTAAGATAAATAATTAGTGTTACTTAAGCCTTGTTTTTTTTGTAAGAGTAATTTTCCACCCTATACTGTTAGAACATTTTGGAACGTTTTGTAAAATTTTGCAAAATAATAAAACAAAAATGTTCTATTAGCAATTGTTTGATTATTATTATTATTATTATTATTAACACTTTTAGTTAACCAAAATACTAAAAATAAGTGCACTAAGCACTATGCACTAGCTCAGTCGCGTTAAGTACAAAACATCTTTATAAACTTCAATAATATTAATATTCGAAATTTGAAAACTTGATTTTCAAAAAATTACTTTTATTCTATTAGAACAATATAATATTCAAATATATTATATTTCTATTTCTATACACGCACAAATGTTTAATTACATTTAAGTGTTTTAGAATATTTATTGATTTTAATGTAACTTGCAATCTATGTTATTTTTACTATTAATCAATAAATATTATTATTATTATTATTATTATGTATACATTTTTGCACACTAACTTTAGGTAAGTTACAAAGCCAGTTAAACATTTTATGAAAATTTTATCAGAAAGATTGAATGCCACATCACAGTTTACTGGGCTAAGGTACCTACTACATAAAGCTTTTACATCGTTGATAACTTCCATAAACTGGCAAGACTGATCCCGAAAAATCATCCGGTTGATATCTTTGGATAAAGACTGTACCTATAGGTCTTTTTATAATAATAATGATGATGATGATGATAATAAAAGATTTTCTTAATCCTGGAGGAAGACTCCACCACATTCATGGAAACAGACTCATGTGCAGGAGAATTTTCCCCTTCCTTCTGCACAGTCATGGTACCATATTCAGATTCAGGATATTTTTCTTTTCTTTGTCATTATAATTAGAGAAGTCATCGTCATCAAATTCATTCACAGATTTTTCTACCAATAGGTAGCCAAGTCCAACTTTTTCCATCTGAAAAATAATTAACAAAAATCTTAAATCCGCTTTGTATATTTAATACTTTGTATACTATATATATTTAATATTCAACAGATAATTAGCTCACAAAAGCAACATTTTTACATAAACATTTTATTGTTAGGAAGTTTCAAATGCTCATATTAAATTACATATCAAAATACTTGCCATTTTACAATTATTTAATCAAAATTTAACACTAGTGGTTTTTTCACCTAAATTGTAGTTTTATCGCTGCAAAACTGAAAAACCCACTCGTTTTCTGAAATCTGATTGGTCCATAAAGTAATGAGTGGAATAGTCAATAAAAAATATTTCTTAGCGACACGTTGCACATGACTATAGGGTATACCCTTGAAATTGTTATCCTTAGCCGTTAACTCGTAGGCGATTTTTAATTTTAAAAAATCAGTGGTTTACCTCTCAGACTTACCTCATATTTAACAATTTTAGCATTTTTTGCAAAAAATAACTTAAATAAGCCTTTAATTTTTTAAAAGCTGCAAAATCGATGTCTTTTAAGCACTGAAAGTGGACAATTTTCATTTTCCGTGATAAAAGGGCTCTGTTTTGTAACTCATTTTATTAATAGCTATAATATTAGGACGATTTAAAATTTAAAATAAAACGTTAAAATTTGCTTATTATAGTTTTTTTGTAACTTATTTTCATATACTACCTAGTGAAACATTTTTTGCAAAAACTAATTTAGATAATCCTTTAATTTTTTTAAATGCTTTGTAAAATTGTTGAATATAAGATACACCCTTATGTGATAATTGGAACGATAAAGCAGAATCAGGAAATCACATTGTGGTATGCGCAGTATACCACAAAGCTGCAAAATCGATGTATTTTAAGCACTTGACGTGGACAGTTTTTATTTCGTATGCTAAAAGGGCTTTTTTGTAACTCATTTTATTAATAGCTATTTTAGGACGATTTAAAAATAAAAAGTTAAAATCTGCTAATTATAGTTTGTTATTGATAAAACTATCTAAATTATTTTCATAACAACCGTTTTTAAATGTTTAGTATTTCAGCTCTTGAAATAAACATTATTCCCAAGTTTTTTAAACTTAAAACCCATTTTTTCAAATAATATAAAATAAACCTTCTGTAAGTTTTCTCTTTAAAATAGTATAAAAAATAATTTTAATAAAATACAGAGCTTACAGTGCATTTCAAATAAGAAAAGCGCATAAGGAATGTAATTAAATCCTTCAATGCTATGAACGGCCATACTTTTTATTAGTATCGTGTTATTTTTTTAAATGCATATGCACGCAAATACGGAAGCAGCTCGAGCCTCATATCGGTAAAAAGAAACAGTACTGAGAATTCTCTGCTTGCCACCACAGCGGTTTAACCCACAGTATCTTTTGCCCTATCAAAATTGCAACTTTGAGTATTACTATTTATTTAATACAATTAATAAATAAAATTCTGAGCTTTATACATAACCTAATTATTTATAGCCAAGATTCTAAATTTAAACAATAAAAATGGTAAAAATTGAATAAATAACAAACTTTGTGAGTGTGTGCTGAACAATAATGACAAGTTTGCTGTGAGGTGTAAATCACCCAAAATTTAAATTGTTGAAAATATTTTCTTTATATTTTTGATTCATAAAAATTCTAAAATAGGTATATGATAATTTTGATAATAATAGAAAAAACTACCCAAATTAAAATAGAATAAATTTGACCTCGATAAATATTTTTAAAGGCCAAAAAATTGTTAGAACCTTTTTTAAAAAAAATTTGTCATATGGTACTAAATAAATTAATGTAAATTATCGAACGTTATTTTATAGAAAGCAAAAATATTATTTGAGATTGATTACATCATATTTTTGACTGTAGACCAATGAATATTTTGAGTAAAAAAGTATTTGTTTCAGTCTCTCCTTCTTTTCACAAGAATTAAGCTTCAAAAGTTTCTCTAGCACTTGCTGATATAAAGAAGGTTTTCCCGATATTTTCATATCACTTAAAATGATGGATAATTAATGTAAAATGATTGTAAATGGGTAAAAATAACCTGCGCCCAAAGATTTCTAAACTTAAAGTTTTACTTTGGATATATTTTAGGTGGAATTGACTTTTTTATATAATATATTATATTAAATAAATTGTTATTATTTTCATTTTGTAAGGTTTGGTTACCTAAGCCTAGTTAATAAATTCTTCACAGTGGGCTTTAATATTTACACATAAAATTGAGGTTTATATATAGACAAAATTATTGATATGGCCTTAAATATTTACGAGGTACAATCCAGCTGCAATAACAATATGAAGGCAACATATTTATGGGGGTGTAAAAGTGCTGCTGAAGCGGAGCGATAATTGCTTATTAGATTATCCTGAACTTCACTAAATCCAATTTGGAGCTTAAATATGAAAAGTTAAATCGGTGCTTTAGTGGAAAACGCCATCTGTAAACTCGTATTATATCGATGCAGCGTGAAGCTACTTGTTGGCTCCAACGGTTATGGTTGCTCCGTATATTGATTCAACAGAATATTATGTACTTAGCAAGTTTTCTTGGAAAGACGTATTGTCTGTTGCAGTGGAGTTCAGTGGCGTAGCATTTAAGGGGCTTTGGCAACTTGGCACAATATTTATTATAGTAAAAAAATATAAATATAAAACAATTATTTAATTTTAAAAAAAGACATATTATAACAGTTATAATATGTGAGCAGCATCCGTGCAAAACCGGCTAAATCCATTTTATTCAGTGTTTTTTTTTGATTTCGCATCTTTGTTTATTTCTATCGACAACCAATATAATTCTGTTTAAATCCGACTATATCCATGTTAAAATCACAGTTAAAAGATAGCTAGGAGCAAAACCGGCCAAATCCACGTTTTTTAGCAAACCCGGCTATATCCAATAAATAATAATGATAATGAGCATGTGGCTTGGATATGTCGATACTACTACTAAAATTTGTTCTGTTTATTTAAATTTATTTTGTTAATATTTTTGAATATTAAAGTTTTTTTTTCACATTTTATTCGTAGGTTTTTGAGCAAAACCGGCAATGCTCCTCAATTGTACTTATGTGTGAATATGTGTTTTGGTAGTAAGTGGCTGTTCGCAAAATATCACCTTTCCAAGTCTACCATAGTAGAAGTTACATTAAAAAAAATTATATGATAAGTCACACTTTATCACCTTGTATCTTTTAAACATACATAATTAGGAAAAATATTTATTTAGATTTTCGTCTTATTTTGACGTTTTTAATCTGCTCCTAAATTTTTGCCACTAAGTTTATGGACACCTTGTATATCGAGTGGCGAAAGGTGGCAATTTTTGAAGAGTGTAAAGTAAATTTAGCAACACACTTTTTGTTACAAGGGTTATATTTCGGAAATAGAAAAAAAAACAACAACTAATCATCAAACATGGCTTTTGTGCTTTTCAAAATATCCTTCATGAAGATCAATATACTTTTTTATACGTTTAAATCAATGCCTGACTAATGATTGCAATCTGGTTTATATTAATATATCCAATATTCATCCCCTGTTACAGGGGCCCTGTATAAGAAGGTTTTTAAGGGATTTTCAAATTATGTGGGATCCAACGGG